TAGATTGACTGTACAATCGATATAGTTACTGTATACTAATAAAGTCCTCATAAGCACTCCTTGCCTGCAGCCCGTCAAATATACAATATACGTTTGTGATTGGGATAAAGCAAGTAACAGCTTAAAAGTTTATTACTCAATTTTATGGCACAAAACTTGGCAGATTTGCAAACTAGGATTTTCTAAACTAGTTTTGCTCTTCTTTTCCAAAATAATGCGCTATCTCATAATTACATTAACCTCAATCTCATAGACGCAAAACAAAATTTTCCGATTTGTCAACAGATATAAATAAAAAGGTCCTGCGCTTCATGAGTGTTCTTTTATAGTGCAACATGCACACACAAAAATTTCTTTTCCGCAGCGTTTAATAGCGTAGGAAATTCCCCGGATATCAACAAACGCTGGATTTCGCCCATTTCTGCCTATATTTTTTCCCAGTATACTGAGCTGAACGGAATTCAATTTTGGTAAACTGCATTTTGCGCCTCAAGTCAACCCGATGAACTAAATTAAAAACTTAAAATGCGTGTTTAATCCCCCAATCCTTAACCTTTCACCGGATATGCAGTCTACTGAACATTACATATTACCTGTAGTTCATTGGGTGTGGCAATTCTATTTTTTCCACTGACATTTCGAGATCCGTCTCGGATTCACCATCGGTGACATACTCAGAAAGCATTAATAGATATGGGTAGCAGATGCACAGGAATTTTGCAGTATTTATAGGATACAGTCATTGCTGCGAACCTACAACGACAATTAACGGTAATTGCTTTTCTGACCGGCATGCGGTCTCTGAATTGCTGAACTTTCAACATGCGTGGTGGGCTCGGGCGTGATGAGCGCTCGGCCATCTGGCCCTCCGGTATTGCCGTTAGAGGACATGGTGGCCTGTCCTTTCCCCAATTGGCGACTTGCTTTTGTCTAATTAGTCTCAGCACCGAATATGGATTGGGCAAATCGTTGCACTTGTTTATGGATTAGGGGCCCGTGCACCATGACTCAAGTAATTCTCGGTCCACCCGACTGCCACCTGCTGCGAGAATTTTGGCCTCATCATACTTGCATATGTGATTGGGTCTCGTCGAATGAGGCGCAACTTGAGAATTGGCATCTTTTCGCCGCACTGTTACTGCGTGTTCGGCGATTCGTGACGTGAGAAGTCTTCCAGTTTCATCGACATAGTTGTTTTATCCATAACTGCACCAGATCCTGTAGACAACTTCAGCACATTCCTGCTGTGGTAGTGGGTCTTTTGGTTTCATGAGCTGATGCCTTATTGTTGTTTCCGGCCTGTGTGCGAGAAGGCGGCCGACAGCCTCCGAGACGTTTCTTAAGTACGGGATCGATCACCAAGGTTTAGGGTAAGTGCGACTTTGTTGGTCATCTCCTTTGCGCTAGCAGCCGTAGACGAAGTTGCGCGCGTAGCCATTTCCTCTGAACACCCATCGAAGTTATTGTACTTCGGCAACTTTGTCCTCTGGTTCGATACAGTGCTTCTCAACACGTGACCATCTCATCCCGTTCGATGACAACGAAGGTATCATATATATACCCCGCTCAGAATGTCGGTCTGTGATGTTGGATAACGAGCGAATCCTGCCGTTGTAGGACCGCCTCGCCTATGAGTCCCGAAATCAGTGAACCCATTGGTGTCTCTACCTGCTCGTAGATTGTTCCGTCAAAGGCGAAGTACGTCCTGAGACAGAATTTTGAGAGCAGCGGAAGTTGGGCATGTCCAAGGCTATTTTCAGTCTCATCGTATTTGCTTCTTAGTAGTTTGACGGCCTCGACTGCCAGATCCTGCGGGATAGAAGTAAAAAGGGACGTGACATCGAGGGAAACCATAATATCACTTGGCAGGATACTTACTCCTTAACGTTTCTTCAAGAATTCTGTTGATGAGCGGACCATGGTCTCCGAATCAGCTGTCAGAAGCCAAAACAGTCATATTGGCAGTACGTACGTTGGAATGCCGTTCAGTGATACGATGGGTCGATCAGGAGTGCCCTCCCTGTGAAGATTGGGAAGGCCATAGAAACGGGCCAAGGCCGTTTCTTGTGTTCTCATCACGCGTCGGTTAAACGGCGTTATTGCATTCCAGTGTTCAATTGCCAAAAAGTGTCGAACTATTTTCACGAGTCAGCCTTTTTACGGGATTGGTTTCACAAGGAACATAGAACAGGCTATCCTCCAGTAAGTTTTTCGTCTTCTGATGTTAGTCCGTTCTGTCTAATATGACCGTAGAAAGTCCCTTGTTGTTGTTTGGCACGCTGTCGACTTCCTGGTCGGCCTTGAGTGCTCTTAATGCAACGCGTTCGACCTTAGGGAGCACTTCCCGCGGTTGATGAGTCATCAGGAGGAACGATATTTGGTGTTTGAATAAGGTTCTTCGTTTCCCCCGCTGCTTCTATCTGATCGATGACTGATTCCACAGCTGCAATCATGTTAGCAGTTTTAGCGTAAGCCGCGTTGAATAAGCCTTCGCGTAATAAAACCTGTATTTGCTCCTTCGTCAGTTCTTTCAATGACAGTTTGTGTACCAGTATGTAGTTTCTGGATGACGTTGGATTTTGCAGTTTGCGGAATTTTTTCTCCAGTGCCGCTTCGTAAATCGCTTTCTGGACGCCGGCTTGTTCGAGCACTCTCTGCTGAAGTATTTTTTATGCCGTATTCGCCCACTTACTCATAGCATCTG